GGTATTTGTATAGACAATCTCTATTTCGGTCATTAGTTTTTAACATATAGCTTCCTTTGTTAAAACTCGAATCTAGGTGATTCCCTCATCTTATTTACTATGTTTAGGGTGTGGTTTAACATTTTGGTCATATAACTGTATATTTCCTGTAACTATTGAATTATACTACCTTGATTGCTAGAAATAAAGGTTCTCAAATTTGATAGTTAATTTCATATTTTTATATTAAAGAAAGGAGCTTAATAAATTAAAAAAAGTAGCTCATGCTAGAGCAGCTAATAAAACTGAGGATGGAATAGGACTAACTCCTCTCTACTCTTGATTAATTCTACTAGCCCAATCCTTGTATGTTCAGTTACAAGACTCGTTACATTTACTCAAGTTACCGAAATCATGGCAAACCTTAGTTGGCTTGTTTGCACTTACTTAATTTATTCTAGTTATTTCTGAGTGAAATGACCCTGGATGTAAAAGGAGACTTCTTCAGTGAATGGAATATGCTCGGCCATTGCTATAACATGACTCAGTAATGACAGCTTAGGTCATTTGTGCTTCTCGAGATAATTTTTCGGTCATAAAATTTCTCCAGATTTCACTTCATTTATGTTGCTACATCTTTAATTTATGCCTGAACCATGTGTTTTAAGTGAGTGTTATGCTTAAATCACTAAAAATTCTAATCTATAACGGCCAAGAGCTATGTGTATTTGTAGAAGACAATCTCTATTTCGGTCATTAGTTTTTAACATATAGCTTCCTTTGTTGAAACTCGAATCCAAGTGATTCCCTCATCTTATTTACTATGTTTAGGGTGTGGTTTAACATTTTGGTCATATAACTGTATATTTCCTGTAACTATTGAATTATACTACCTTGATTGCTAGAAATAAAGGTTCTCAAATTTGATAGTTAATTTCATATTTTTATATTAAAGTTATGGATTGCATTTTAAAATTATTCTTAAGATAATAGCACTATTCCACTCAGGGCATTGTGGCCAATGTAAGCATTGCTTTAGCTTTCAAGTTCTTTTTTTCTGATTACGACTTGATCAAATCATTTTATGACATTATATTTTATAAATAGCTTCGCTAAACGTAAATGAGCTATGCAACTCTTGTGAGCTAATAGATAATAATAGCATCTAACAGGATAAAATTATGCAACTTAGTTATATGCCAATCAGTTGAACTGCCTTGTTGCGTCTTATCTGAGATTAATTACCTTAGCTTACTTATATACTCAACGAAAAACCAATATTTCAATTTTGCGTTGTCTGCTTTGCTATTTGCTTATCTGAATTATTTTTCATTTGTTTCTTTCAATAAGTCTTTATACTCACATTCCACTATCCACTCAACCTAAGACATTCGAATTTTTTGGCTAATCACAGGTTTTGTACCTCATCCCTTTGGACGTCAACGACAAATTAGCTATTTTTGACAAGAAATTCCCGAATTACACTATCCTCTCGACGTCTACCCTATATTATATTTTAATCGAACCGTTATCAATTATTCACCTCTAACACGATCCATTGTTTTCCTCGTGGCAGGCCACAGGCGCTGTTGGTTTCCCGTAGATGAAGCGCGAATCCGTCTCTCCTTTAGGCACCAACATCAAGCTAACTGGCTTGATTGCCATCTGCGGGGTCAGCGCATCGATTGCACATTTGAAGATTGGCCTTTACTAGCCTGTTGCAGAGGTAACAGTCTTCTCGATCGGTCAGTAGTTTGTCTCCCCTTTGCCCAAAAGGCTGCACCAAATTTAGATTCAGAATCTCGCTTGGCGCCTGGCGCAGCGTCACCTCACTGCTCAGAACATTCTACTCGTTCTGAGGCTGCCTTGCCAAGTCGGTCTAAGGTTGCCAACGCCACTAGCGATTCTCCCTATTCTGAAAGAAAGTCTACTGTTACTGATACATCTTTCCAATCCTTTCACAATTCATCTATTGGCCCGAGTTCTATCGATCTCCACGCCCATCCAAATGAATTGAAGCCGAATGCCTCTGTCTCCTTGCATCGGGGCGACCTCCATTCGGACGGTTCATCAGCATGGCCTGCATGTGATCTTCGGCTGATTTCTGATCCTGAGCAGCCTGCTTCTTCCAAAGGGGACGCGAGTGTTATATTCAAGGGTTAAATTCAAAGCCATCGGAAGACTACATATTTCTTCTTTTGACTTTCATTAGTCTTTCGTTTAACCTCTGCTATACCGATCGTCTTTCGTAACTTCTCCCGTCTCATCAGACACGAGATGCCTACCCAGGGCTCTGTTTTATTTCTTCCATTCCCTCAAGTCAAAATCACGCACACACGCATATATAGGGCTATTTCTGACCATCATAGAAAAATTTTGACTATCGGGATGACTAACGATTATGCTGCCAACTATCAAATCTTGCTTGGTTGTTTTCGTTTTATCAATGATATGCGCTCTTGCATTTAAATTTTCTCCTTGTAATACTCTGAGCCATTAATTAATATGCAGTTTTTAGATTCTGCACTTTCATGACAAGAAGGAAGAAGTTAGCTTTCAAACCGACAGCATCAATTTTTTATTTTTCATTTTCATTTTCTGCGCATTCCAATCAGCCTTGATCCTTGAAATCCTCTTAATTGAGCAACAATCTAAAGCTAGTTAAATGGAAGGCCAAATTTATTTTTATTTGTGGCATACCTAGGGAAGTTGAATGGGCTCAATCAGATATC